CACTGGACAAGACTCCACTTGGTGATGGTGACATCGAAATTCTAATGGGTGGGTTGACATGAATGCGAAACTAGTAGTGGACGATACAGGAAGAGAAGCAATCATGGGTGGAGAGGCACTCGGTAAGGCGATGAATGAGAATGGAGAACTGTTTGCAGATTTCTGCGCATTCAACGATTTGGTGATTGGAGGCAGTGTGTGCAAATACAAGGATATTCACAAAGCGACATGGACTTCACCAGATGGACACACTACACTGAAAACCAGATTGACTTCATGTGAATGTGAAGAAAGTGGAGGCGCAGCCAGCCAACTGGACACAAGATCAGATCACGAAGAGGAGCAGATGTAGGTTGACACCACTCACTATCTAGTGCAAGGAAACTGCATTCAAAATGAAGTTGGTAGCTTTCAAAGAAGTTGGTGATAGACGACAGTTGAAGTTGAACACCCAGAACGGAAACTGAAGGACGAAACTACAAAGAGTATCCTCACGTCAGTCAGCCATCAGGACAAAATGGGAGACATTGAGTAACATCCCTGAAGGAACCTGAGTGGGAGAACACTGGAACTCTTTGAAAGCTGTGTGGAAAGAAGCCTGCATTACCGTATTAGGAAGGAAGAAAAAACAAGACAGGGAATGGATCTCGACGGATACATGGAGGCTGACAGAGCAGGGAGAGGAAGAGATGAAGCAGAAGATAAACCAGTGCAGTGCAAGGATGAACGAAAAAAAGAGGAACTGAACGCGACCTACAAAACACTACACTGGACAAAGAAGTGAAGAAGAGTTCGCGGAAATACAAAAGACACTTCTACGACACACTGGCAAGTGAAGCAGAACAGGTTGCAGGTAGAAGTGACAGAGACCTGACAACACTATATCAAATAACCAGGTTACTATCTGGTAGGGAAGAGATCAACACAGATGAAACCAATGAAAGATAGTGAGGGAAACCTATTTAGCAAAGAGGAGAAATAAGGGAAACGATGGGTCGGCCACTTCAAAAAACTCTTAGATCGACCACCACCTGCAACTCGTCCGGAAATACCGCCAGCAGCTCAACTACAGAATTACCAGTGAACACAAGCTCTACGACGAAAGCAGAAGTTAAGTGCTGAACGCCATAAAGTTGCTGAGATGCAGGAAAGCAGCAGGACCAGATGGAATTCCTCCAGCAGCACTGAAAACAGAGGCAGAGACAACAGTGAACTTGCTCACACCACTATTGCAGTAGGTGTGGAAGGAAGGAAAGATTCCATATTGGATTTGTTTATTTGATTTATAACACAATGATCTAGTATTATTTACTTGATGACGTTTCGAGCATAAATTATTGCTCATAATCATATCAATCATATCAATATGATATGATTATGAGCAATAATTTATGCTCGAAACGTCATCAAGTAAATAATACTAGATCATTGTGTCATAAATCGAATAAACTAACCTAATATGGAATCGAATTCTACTACAGTGCCCAAATTTTACACCTATACTAAGGAAAGAAAGACACCTGCAGATTGGAAGAAGGACTACCTTGTCAAACTCCCAAAGAAGGGCGACATAAGTCTTTGCAAGAACTGAAGTGGAATCATGCTGCTGTCAACCCCAAGCAAAATATTTAGCCACATCATCCTGGAGAAACTAAAAAAGGCACTGGATTCAAAATTACGATTAAAACAGGCTGGCTGGCTATCTGGATTCAGGAAGAACAAATCATGTGCGGATCAAATTCCAAGGCTACACTACGCATCATCATAGAACAGAGTATAGAATGGCAATCAACTGTCTACCTCAATTTCATCGACTTTGAAAAGGCCTTCGACAGCGTCGACTGAGAAGTAATTTGTCAGGCAGCTGCTTCAACACTACGGAGTGCCACTGGTCTTTATCAACCCTCATTCAACAGCTATACGAAGACGCCACATTCTGAGTGATCCACTATGGAAAGCTTAGTGACGTCTTCGAAGTGAAGACAGGAGTAAGACAAGGTTGCCGTCTACTGTCACCCATGATCTTCCTGATTATGGTCGACTGGATCATGCAGCAAACAGTGAGGAGCGTAAAGATTGGTATACGCTGTTTGACTGATGAGAAGAACCTAAAGGATTTAAATTTCGCCCATGATGATGATTTATGTCTAATGTCGCACAAACTCGAAGATCTACAGGCGAAGACCAACAAGTTGGCAGAAGAAGCGAGGATGAGAAGATGGGACTTTAAGGGAAAGTTGAGAAATCAGAGGTAATGAAGATACCCAACCAACAACGACAAGCACCGATCACTATCAACAGTAGAAGACTAAAGGAAGTAGTCTCTTTGGCCTACTTTTCAACACCGTTTCAACTACAGTTGGCACAGATGAGGATGTCAAAGCCGGGATCGGAAAAGCAAGACAGGCCTTCCTTCATTAATCCTAAACCAGTGTGGAGATCTACTGCACTGTACTCAACACAAAGAACAAGATCCAGATTTTCAACACTAACGTCAGTCCACTGAGTGCTTCTGTATAGTTGAGAGACTTGGCGCGTTACGAAAAGTATTTCCAACAAACTACAGACGTTCATCAATAGCTGCCTACGCTTGCTCAATACTGAAGACCAGATGGCCAGAATAATAAGAAAAAGCAACAAGGAACTCTGGCTGGTGACGAACCAACCAAGAACCCATCACCCAACAAATATGCAGAAGGAAGTGGAGATGGACTGGACATATACTGAGAAGACTATTTAGGGACATCACACACCAGACCAGGCCATCGAGTAGAATCCAAATGGGAAACGATGAGTTGGGTGCCCGAGGGTGACATGGAGGGGATCATATAAGGAAGAACTGAAAGCTTGTGGTCAGTCGTGGAGCGAGATTCAAAAGAGTGCAGACAAGAGAGTGCAATGGAGACGTGCTAATGAAGCCCTATGTTCCACTAGGAACCTAAGGGACAAGTAATAATGATAATGTTCTGCCGCATCTGGAAATCCTCAATACTTTAGCACCTCTGGCACTCACGGGAGACTTCAGTCTCCCTGAGGAAATATAAAAGTCTACGTGAAGAAACAGTTATTGAACTTAATGGAAAAATATTGACTGACTGAGGCACCTAAACCCACTCAGTTTAGGGTATCGCGTGAGAAAGGGGTGGCTTTGTTATTGCCTTCAAGCGAGTCATGCGAATAAACTAACTTTACCTGCTGTTTGGCAGTCACTGACTGTTAGGTTAGACGTAGAGTCTTAAGTAGAAGAGGTAGGCCAGTTAATGAGACTATAAGTTCTCACTGAATCACATGGTTGAGACAAGTGTAACGCACATCTATTCAACGTCTAACCCACCACGCAATATTAGTTGAAGTGGGTTTAAGTTGGAATAAAGTTATAAGTAGCCAGACTGAAACGTTGAATTTGTCTGTAATTTCGATGACTGCTGGTCTGAGCCGTGTAAGGAAATGTAGACTACTCGATTGGAGTTTGCATCACAACCAAAATCGATGGTTAGAGACTCTAGGTGATATAGCTCAGAATCGACCGAAGTGGAGCAGATGCATCTATAGATTACCTTCATCCTAATTGTCATATGACATTTAGATATTTCAAGTTGTTATTCATCGTAGACTGACATCATTTGGAGGGACAAATTCAATTTAGATATTTCCCTTAACCTCTCTTATCTCTACCACTGCCTTTCTACGACGGTTTACCATATTACTTTGATTTTTTTCTATTCAACGTGCTGCGTCTTGAGTCGTCACGCAGTGAAACCAGAACACATGATGGTATTGATGATAATGTCTCATGCGTTATAGGTTATTGTTGGGCGTATATCGTGTCGCCCGTATTTTCTCTTGTGCGTCGGAGTGGTGTCATTATTCATCACAGAATAAGTACAGTTCTTGAGTTAATAAGCTTATGTGGTTTGTGGTTACATTCACCTTTCATGTTGATATTGAACGACTGACTGACTTTTCTATTTAGAGCATTGGGGGGACAGTAATGGTCGAACACACCTGCTGCCGCTATTTCAGCTACTATTTTTGATAAAATTGCGGCAATCTGGTGGTACTTATGATTTCTTTAGCGTAAGGTTTTAACTAGATATTAGAGGTTTTCCATTTCGATATGTTTCCCTGCCTTTGTTTGGAAATCTCGTCTCAGTCTCACAAAATGCAACTTCTCAAATTCACTCACTTTTCGACGACTTCTACCAGTTCACCACCTTTTGTGAGGACATATTTATGTTATTATTATGAAAAGCAACTCACATTTGCATAGACCGAAATACTTCAAGCTTATTGATGATAATCGCCAACTACGTAACCGTAATTGTGTTATCTGTTCATTTTTGCGATATGACACATTATTGTTCATAAAATTCAAGGGGAGAATTATTTCTCTGGCTCGTCTTGATTTACCATCGACCGTTACCACTTGGTATAAGTGTTGTTTCGTCGGGTCCCCAACTGTTAGTTTCTTTGTCAAATTCCATTCACAAACCGTAGTGTTTTACTCCGTTGTTATTTGTCCTTTCAGTAGATATATGCGGCCAGTTTCCATTTTAAATTTAGTGTGGTTCAGAATTCTTTTGGATCGCTTAGTGTGGAGCATGTAGCAAATTACTTATATCTTGTATATATGCATGTTAGCCATTGGTACCTTTTCCTTAAGGTGTGGTGTATGAGCTGTGACTAATTGGTCTAGACGCTTGATTTCCAACCAATTGAGTCACAGCTTTACCTTCTTAGGTTTAGAAAGCCAAGTGGTATGATTAACTCTCGCCCGATAGATGTGGCTCTTTGCCTACTGCACAAATGTGGTCAAGGTGACCGAGTAGCTTTCACTTTCTGCACTATAGGTTAATTGTTCATAACATTATAGGTAACGTAATGATTGTAACGTTCATTGGTTTTAATTTTGTGAGCTTTTTTTTACTGCTGTGTGCATATTTCATTCATATTGACTTTGGTTTTTCAACATCGTTCCTATCCATTTATATTTTCTCTAGGTCTAGTTTACGTTGGTTTCGATATGATACCAATGCATCTGACGCGAACCCAGATTCAGTTAATGGTGAACTTCCAAATTACCAACATGAAGCTGGTCCTCCTCAATCTGTACATCCTAGGGCGTTTCACTCACCCTCTAATGAACTAAAGATTTCTGAACAGTGTATTTCAAATCAGGTTTGCTACATTAATTTTACCCATCTTTTTGCATATGGATCTTTGGGTTACCATAAAATATCTTCTTAACTCGAATTTCCGAATACTTTCGTATGAAATCATCATACTACCAACACATTACTTTGAGCTTTGGTGAACCATGTGTTCGAACCCTGCCCAACTTGTTAAGGTTTGAACTGGCAGTATCACGGGTCCTCACATAATAGGTGCCATTCATGATTTAGTACACACACGTGTACGTGACTGCTGAAGTTTTTGTCAATCAGTTACCTAGTACTAACAACTGAAAGTCTAACTTATGCTGTTCGTTGTTTTTCATTGTACGTAAATTTATGATCCACCTTTTTTACATCGTAGTGATCTCATAAATACTTTCAGTTACCTGGAAGGTTTATGAGTGTTCTTCATGGAGGGTTTAATTACTACAAAATCAAGCTGCAAATCCTATCGAGGACTAGATCTGGTCGTTTTTATATTTTCAGAATCAAGCCTTGATGGCTTACGCTTCGATATTAATTTTTGTACTGTATACTGATAAGATCCAACCGTTACTAAAATAAAAAACCTCACGTTACCTGTTACTCTTTAACCAGCTTTCATCAGTCAGTTAATATCGATATGGGACCTGGTATTACTACCTAATACTCCAAGTTGCCGCGACTAGTTAGTATCATCATGGAACCTCGAAATACTGTGTGGTGGTTCGAGTTCCAAACCCCTACATCACCTCAACAAAGTAGAACGAACCAATATAAAAAGAGAGAAAAAGGGACAAAACAGTAAAAGTTACTGTGAAGTTTCAAGAAAAGAAGAGGGGTTCAGGGAAATATCTAGATGTTATGTGACAATTAGGATGAAGGTAATCTATAGATGCATCTGCTCCACTTCGGTCGATTCTGAGCTATATCACCTAGAGTCTCTAACCATCGATTTTGGTTGTGATGCAAACTCCAATCGAGTAGTCTACATTTCCTTACACGGCTCAGACCAGCAGTCATCGAAATTACAGACAAATTCAACGTTTCAGTCTGGCTACTTATAACTTTATTCCAACTTAAACCCACTTCAACTAATATTGCGTGGTGGGTTAGACGTTGAATAGATGTGCGTTACACTTGTCTCAACCATGTGATTCAGTGAGAACTTATAGTCTCATTAACTGGCCTACCTCTTCTACTTAAGACTCTACGCCTAACCTTTATACCGATAATATGGTGGTTCCATGATACAGACAACGATGACCTAATACTTGAAGCCTTTCCGTGCCCTGTAGTAGGACAGAGTGAACTGCTGCATAGTATACTCGACCCATAATAGACAATCAGATATCTCTCCAGTGCCATAGGTGAAATAAATTGACAAAAGTTAATCATGCCTTTTGTGTCCGTGGTGAGATGGCGGTCACACCTATCAGAAATGATCTGATTTCCAAAGTGCGTGTTCAACCACTTCACTCCCTATCGTTAGACGAGGCATCAATGCAGGTCAGCCCTAAAGCAACGGTTTGGATCTAGGTGGTGGAGAACGTACCTCAAACAGTCTTAAATTGCCATTCAATGTCCAAGATTGTGCTTCATATTAGTCTTCATTCATCAGGGCTGTCATCTGAATATTCTATATCTACACTGCCACAACACCTCGCACTCGGCAAAGTCGAATGCCATCTTCCGGGCCATTGGCCGGCAAATGTGCCTGTGTCCCGGGACCTGTCAAAGGCTGATTTCTGAAATGGATATAGAGAAGTTACTAGAGCTCAGTAGTCATTAAAGCACTGCTCACGTATGAGCCAACTGTCCACTTCGCTTCGCAATATCGTATGAAGAATGATTAAATCGGAGCTGTTTGGTTAGCCCGATATTTTGTACTGTATGAATGTAAGCATCCTGTGTCGTTCATGAAACGCCAAATTGTCGACAAACCTACTCATCGATTGAAAGCAACAGCATGAATGCATTTTCTGGTCTGTTTCAAACCTTGCACATCCTATTACTTTACATTTATACCTTCTGCCCACAGACATCTAACATCAATAGTGCGAGTATAAGAAACTGATAGTAATTGATTTCTCACGTCGTTTTCGGGGCTCGGTTCTCATGTTTGTATTTGTATCTGTTGATTGCAAATAGTTGAATGGGAAAACAAATTGTTAAGGTTTTTTTGGGCATGTTTTAACTTTCGCATGCGCTAACTCTTATGGTCATTGATAAGTTTCTTGTTCAATTTACGCTTAAGATGACTTCGCTCGTCATTGAGGGTTGTACTTAACTGGATTGAATCTTCTCGTCCCAATTTGTTTAGCTGGGCCGCGAAAATCTGCTATGTTTAGCAAACTTTTAGCTCTAAGTCACCTGCTTTTGACTGTGTTTTCACGATGAACTGAGTTTCACGTCAAGCATGATTAAGATAATTGTAACCTTCATGTTTATACAAATGCTCATCTATCTCCTCTTGTAATACACTATTGATGTTTTCATGTAGCAGTCGAGTGTGCAGTCTTCCCACTTTCTGTAGAGGGCAAGGATTCACGAGCATGTATTATTTCTCCTTCGATTTTCATGGCAAGCTGTGTCTTTTTTAGTGATGCAAATAGAATCAAGAGGGTAAGCACTCCTCTCTATGTGTTTTATATATGCAGCACTTATCGGTTGCTCGAAATTGTAGTTTTGGCAAGTGTTACCTGTACAATTCGGCAGTGGCTTCGGACGTTGAAACCTGCAGTGTATATTTGGTGGCGTTATTTTAGTAGACTATATATGGTGTTTGCAAGCTTGGATCGTTCGCACTAGCCTCAGAGTAGTGGTTGTAGTAAGTTGGAAGTAATAAAGATGTTAATATTGGTATCATTTATGGAAGTCATCGGAGGAAATAAAGGTAAGAAAGGTAAGTTGTAGATTGAGATTTGCAGTTTTTTCAGGGTCTATCTTTTCAGACATACGCATCCTTCAGGGAAGACGGGGTCAGAATGGTCTTCTGGGTCATCCGTGGGGATCACTTTATTACCGTCATTTCCTATCCAGTCAGCATTATGACTTCACCCCCTAAACGTCTATCAGAGCTTTAGCTATTCGTACAATAACTGTAACTGCTTTCAGTCTTTCCAGTATCCATAAAACCTTTTTGGCATGATTGAAGCTCAAGCCATAATGGTTACAGCCGGCGTAGCTTGCGGAGTCATTGTGATATGTAAGACTGACCATCATGTCTAAGCGGCAGAGATGGATCTATGAAACCTGAAATAACTTTTAATGCTTTCAAAAGGAATACTGTAACTTATAATTTTGTTCCACTTTGTATTTTTTTTTTACCTCATTTCCTATTCAGGCTCCAATATCTTTCAATCAAAGAGTGGTGTAACGGATCTTGATACTCCCATCAAGAACATTGGTTCGCCTCTGCAGTTGGAGACATGCCAACCGATTACAAGTCTGTTTTCCGATGCATATTCTCCTCGTCACAGTCTTAGTATTCAGGACGCTACACTGGCAAAAACAAACAACACATGTGATCTGTCTGTTCTACCACCCCCTCCCTCCCCGCTACTTTTGCCTAATCCGTACGCTGTGAGTTCTTTGGAAACAATGGCTTCATCCGAAGAAGTCCAGAAGTCAGCAGTAGTCCCATTCAACTGTACTGACTTGTCGTGTTGTAAAATATTAGAAAATCCATGTGTGACAGTATATGTACATGGTCAGTCAGAAACCTGCAGTCAAGTAACCACGGTATTTCAAGATTTTTGTTCTCTAAAACATTATACTACAAAAGTAAGTTTACATTAAAGTTCCAGTGATTGAGTGTGAAGCCATAGTGAATCGAACGCTGTACTGAAATGTTGTCATGTGACTTGGTCTGACTCTTTGACTAGTGCTAATGAAGTCAAAATGCATTCAGTGACCACGTGCACGTCCGTGCAGTAGGTAATGTGCCACATCATGAAGGCTGATGATACTACCTGCATACGCAGACCTGGTTAAGTGGGGTGGAGTTTAATCCTGAAACCATTGATTGAAAGTCAAGTATCTAGACCAGTGAACCACAACTTTACCTGTGACTAACGCGCTACTGCCTTGGACCTAAAGCATAGCTATTGGTGTTCTACCAACTTTTTTGTAATCATTTAGTGGGATTAAACAACTGGACAATAAGATCATCCTAGGATTAGTGGTTTAACAACAAAGATAACTTGGCAAAGTGATCATCGCTTGGTTACCTACTGTGATGTCTAAACAGCTGTGTTTAGGATCTTACGTCTCGCTTCAGAAAAACGGTGTTGGACGTAACAGAGGCACAGTTAATTATGTTTAAGTCGTCATTCTTGATATTCCATTATTCCAGTTATCATCATTTGAATTTAACGTTTCTAGTTTGCTAAAAAATAACTGTGCTAAGTATGAAACCAGTTTCCAGCGCGCCCGACCGATTAGCGCTAACTTTTATGAAAGCTCAGTCGACGTTTTCCTGTCTATTCATTCTTAATATCCGACAGATTTCTAAATTTCACCTAATTATTAGTGTGCAGTCGTAGATTCGATTTTCTTTCCAACAATTTTTGTTTTATAATGTATGGTTTTATTACTAATTTATCACTCAACCTCATTGTTTCATTCATAATGTATGAATATAGCCCCCGTTTTTCTGAACTAAAGCGCTTATAAAAATGCCGACTTTAGTATAAGTGGACCAGATAAGTTCATGAACCGTCAATCTACGGTGCATAAAAACTTGATTGAGAACAGGGAAACAGCTGTGAATTGATTATAAATGGTTATCTTAAAAGAGCATCACTGCATAAGCTAACAGCAGCTATGAATATCTCTATGTGGATTGTTGTTCTCCACAATCCTCATAACGCTCAAGTATACGCACCTAAATTGTCTTGGTCTGCTATTGGTTTTATTGTCATATTATTTCTTTCGAGGAGTCATTGATTTGTCTGTTGTTCCTATTATCAAACATACATTTGAACTGGTTGCGCGTAATCATAGTTTACGTACTTTGCACAGTTTCACTAACTAAAAACAGTTGACGCTATTGTTGTCAACCTTCCGAACACCTTAGGCACAAGTTTGAGTATATTTGACATATGTTTTGGACCTGTAACATGTATGATGATGCTTCGAAACCAATCTGCAGCTCCTATTTTGAGGAAAGGGAGTAAACTGGTAGAATGTGTTGGACATTCCGCTTACTTTGGTATTTGCATCAGCCGGAATTAGTTGGTCGCTGATGAGTTCTGAGTTCAGGTACGAAAAGTCTATTTGGCGTTTGCTAGCAGTATATCCAACTACCTATTAAATTTTCAGTATGCTGCGCTAAATTCCTCTGTCTTCAGTTATACAGCTGTAAGATATGGTCTTTGAAAAGGGAGTATATGAAGCGGTTACAGGTTTTGGCCACATTTGTCTTCGTAGCATTGCTCGTGTATACTGGAGTTACTGCGTGAATGTTGAAGTTGGATGTAGTTCAATAGGCAAGGTAAGCTAGACAGTGGATGATGTTGTGAATCTTCACGGATTGAGTTGGCTTAAGGGTGTATTGCGCATGCCAAGTCACTGCACACCTCGAAGTGCGGTGTTAGCCGAAGTAGGGCTGGCTTAAAAGAAAGTCAAAGGTGATCAAACTAAGACATGGTACCAGTTCCTAAAGTCTTTGACTGTTGGTCCAAACCGTCTAGTGAAATGTGGACTACCTAGTTAGGGTCTTTGAGATAATAGAAATCAATGGTTAGAGACCCTTAATGACATGGCTGAAAATCGGTCACAATGATGTAAATGTATTCATTCACTGACGTCTTCTAAATTCTGAACATTTTCAATAACTTTCATTTTTTAACTTCTTTATCCTCCCATACACTTTTGCCTGCCGTATTAACTTTTTTATAACTACCTTTTCACTGTATGCTGTTGTGAATTGTAGCAGATTGAACCTGTGCACGTCTATGCGCGGTTCCACGTTGATTTTGTCTGTCTGCTTGCGTAAGCATTGATACCTATCAGGTGTGTGATTAAATTTCGTGTTGAAGTAGTTGGAATAGCCGTTTTAGACTCACACCGTCTGTGACACAGTTGCGTCTTTTTGTTACACACTTAGAAGGTAAACTGTACAACTATTCCCGCTTAGTGTCTACTATTGTTTTTTAAAGTCGTAAAGTATAATCTGTTTGTCTCTTTTTGTTTGAATTTTCCATCCTTTTTATTATATTTCTTCTTGAAGTGTTTGCATCTATAATTCTGGAGACAATTTTATTTACCTTTTTTGTTTACGACAATTAAATTCGGTTGTCCAGTTTGTTATATTGTCACTATCATTGAATACAACACAATTGACACTTGCACTCTGGAGGCTGCAAATCTATTTGCGTGTGTTTTCCAACTCATAATAAGTATGAAGCTTGTAGCCCACACTTCATGATTTCGAAGCATACATTGACTTACAGAAGTAACTGTCACAAAGTTGCATCTAATTAGCTAGGACAATTGAACTGGACATTTTAACTTACTTCGATCAAATATTTCGAAATTGTGTGGTAGCCTCACTAATTAGTCTTGATATTATAGTTTATTATTGTCAGAAATTCTGGATAAATTATGAGATATCAAATTATCAAGAGTATAATCATGTTGTTAAGTTGTTTCGGACAGCCTAAATAATTGATCGAAATGTGTGGTCTCACAAAATTGTGATAATTGCTTATGTTTTGTAAAATTCACCTTTAATAATTTGAGTATTTTCCTCACCTTTTCCGTATCCAGTTAGACTCTTATTTTTGCCGTGCCGTTTTTCTATCACCTTTTTATTCGTTTTGACATATTCTTTAATTTCACTCGCCTCAAGAACGCGTGTTTCGTCCTATTTGAGACTCGTTAGCTGGATGCACTTGCCTCCCAGCGAATGATGTTGTTGCCACTAAGACTTGTCCGGCATCCCACTGCTAGCCAATATTCACCATTGTGGAGTTGTGGCTCGGTGGTTTAGGGAGATGTTTGTCAACCTGTGGGTCACGGGTTTGAACCCCGACCCACTTACTGAGGTTTGGGCAGTCACTAGCCTTCACACAGTAGGTCTGTTTCATTGCCTACTGCACGGATGTGCAAAAGGTGGCTGAGTGCGTTTCGTTTCGTACTATCCGTCATTAATATCCAATTTCAAAGTACCAGCGATATCGAAGCATCTGTACAGGAGCCTATATGTGCCAATATTGGCCGATCGATTGGGTCCAATCATCGACAGTGATTCGCAAGCTGTAGCGTCAAACATTACTGTTATTTTAATGGTATTGTATCATCTGTACTCGATATCCTAAACATAAGACTTTTCGAACAAATATAAATTATTAACACAAACACCAAAGGTAAATGAACTAGCAGGATTTCTCCGCAATTGATTTTGTAGGTTATCCTGAGGACGTTAGATGTGATTCGGTTGCTTCTCTTGACTATATTTTCGCTGGTGGTATTTTATTCTTCTGTTGCGCCATTCCTCTGACCTGACTTCATACCTTTTTATCATTTTTCTTATTGGTTGACGAATTTATTCTCTGTTTATACACTGAGTACCAAGCTGCCAGAAATGTTCTGATATTTTCATGTTTCCTTTTCATGATCAAATTTACCTCCATACTTTTGCACGTAGATTGATTGATATAAGAGATAATGTATCGTGACACCTAATTGCAAGCAGTATGTAGTTTGTCCCAGCTGTTGTTGTTGATTTTTTTAATTGATATATATAATGGGCTGAAATTATCCGACAAGCAGTTTAGTTTTTACTTGGTAGTACGTCGAAGGGGAAGCAGAGACGTCTTTATGCCTATACTAATAACGGTTTTACTGAATTGAAAAAAAGATGAAAGTGATTAAATTGGATAAGTATGAGATTTCATAAGGTTGTAATTTACTCCTAGATAAAATGTAAATGTATCTATGTCACTAACATATTCTTTGTGCTGTCACCGAGACACCTGTTGCTATCGATTTTCCTCACATGGTCCGTTTAATGAGTGCCGACACTATGTACCGTCACTAACTTCAGAATTTATTGTCGTGTTTAGATCTTGCCGCAACAGAGTCTTTTCGACTGCATTGCAATTATCATCTGATATTCAAACCGAAGATGCTGTGGTTTTCAAATTATTAAGCTGCTGTTATCGCACACTTGTTTTCATAAACAAAACATGCATACATTGGGGACACATCCCGTTGTTGTTTTCTAATTTTCGCTCCATTAATCTAGTATGCTTTTATCCTGCGACCATATTTAACTTCTCACGGCTGTATGCAGACATTTTCACATTAATTATCTTACACATTGGCACTTATATGCATACTAACCAATGGATTGTGGTTTCAATGCCTTATTCATTTTGAGACACCTACACAGTTTAGTATGAAAAACTGTAAATTGAAATATCTAAAATTAGTCAAAAAGTGCTTGTGGATTGTGGGACTAGTTACTGTTATAACGAAAAGTATCTTACTAAACTGTAGATCTTTAGAGTCATTATTAGATAGTGAGAATTGCGGGAATAAGTAAAGAGTGACTGGAATCTTAAGGCAGATTGATTACCTTTTATTCATTGAAAGCCTTATGATTTGGCGGGTTATATGTAGTTGGATCCTATTGGTGAATACTGAATATATTATAAAATAACCAACTAGCATGTCTACTGTATAAATGACCTACTAAAAACGTGTTAGGCAGTTTTAATGTTTGTAAATAAGAAATAATTAAGAAAAAGGTTATTGTGAACATTTATTCTTCATTAAAGTTCAGTACAATGGGCAGTAATAATAAATCCGGAAGCAAGTAATCCCATTCATGTTTTTTGTCTGTTTATACAGATTATCGCGGAACTAAATGATTTGTATTTGACAATAAACTTCCAATTCAACAGTAGACTGTACAAATAAACATAAGGAACACCAGTGGGGTCATCTAAAGCAGTAATACCAAGATTGAAAGTTGTCATCTTGTCAAACCGGAACTTTGTATCAATGTGTAGGTAATATATTTGTCATCATTGAAAGAAAATTATTTTAAAAACTAATCAACAACGTTTTCGACAACATCGAATTCGCAGTTGCAGAGAACGTAAATAACAAAATCCCATTTTTAGATGTTCTAATCATTTGGACCAATTCGGGAAAATTAGAAACTCAGGTGTATAAAAACCAATTCACACTGATTAGATCACCAACTACAATGGCATCAGTTTAGCAGCACGTAAAATAAGCTGCGTAAAAGCGTTAGTCAGAAGAACGAAAACACTAGTACATCAACCCTATGGAGAAAGAAACAAGATATCCGACTATCTATTAAAGGACGAGCATGCTGTCCTGCAGTCCATTCTATCCTGTTCCGTTGAAATTAGAAGATATGAAACGACAACTGGGTTTTAAATCATAGGTCTCTTCATAGCATTGCTCCCGTTTGGTAGAGTCACGATATGAGCAGTATAGAGGTTAGGCGAAAGGTAAGGGCCAAGACAGGCAAGCCGATTGATGGGGTTGTGAACCTCAGTCGACTGAGATGGTTTGAACACGTACTTCTCATGCTGAGTCACCGTCTACCTCGAAATGCAGTGGTAGGAACAACTGGATTAGGTTGGAAGAGGGCTGAGGATAGTCAGTACATGAAGTCCCCAGCTGTTGATTTGGGTCATGTTGGGAGATGTAAACCTGTCTGGAGAGGATAGGAATCAGTGGTTGACCTTTAATGAAACACCTGAAAATCGGTCACAATAGCGCAGATGTATTCACTCTCTGATGTCTTCTAATGCTTGAATATTTGCACTAACCTTCATTTTCATATTTATTCTCCTTCCATACACCTTTGTCTATATTGATATCAGTCTTTTTCTATCCACTTGTTTTTGTATGCTACTGTGAAGTGTGGCATCTTGAACCAATGGACTTATGTTCGAGATTTGCCGTTGATTTTCTGTTTGGAGAAAAAACTATTAAGTGGTCATCTTTTAGACGAAAGGGTATTTGTGTAATTTCGTCAAAAGATTTCTGTCGAATTCACCGTCAACCGAGAAATCACGCGTTGCATTTGAAAGATGGATTGTCTTGTCATACATGAAACGCGTTTCGAAGATTGCGACTAGATTATTCTAGCCTTTGAGAATCGCTTGAGTTCACAAACCTAAAAAATCTCACTACATGTTATGCAAGCCATAAAATCATTGGCAATGTTATTTAAAAAATAAACTGTAGCAGCACTGTCGAATGAAGTGTCTACATGAACAATCAACAGTAGTGCTCCACAATACATCTTTACCCATACCAATGTATCTAGAAAATTGCCAACATAAATTCGACTGGGAAAACATGGAAGTCGTGGGGAGTTTTAGTAGTTTGGCACTTGGGACAATAGCAAGATTATAGCAGAAGCAAGTAGTCGCACCCAAGGTCATCAGGGCAGACTACTAAGCTAAGTTCTTTCATCAAAATCTTTTACCTTATTGCTACGTCCAACTTCGGCGCTACTGACAGAGGGATACTACGACACACCCTATTGTACTAAGGCAACAGTGGTCGAAAACGCGAGACCTCCTCCCGTCTTCCGATCCTTAATAGACAGTCGGGCACCATGTCGACACCATGAATAGCGTAGGTTGACGACGACCAAGCTGGCCTTTTGTGTCTACTGAGATTTCGTCGATCGCTGGTCCACCATAGTTGACTTCCCAGGAAAGTGAAATAGTCAGTGGGTTGAATCACTTCACTTTCTATTCTTAGACAAGGCTCCAACGCAGACCAGCCTTGGAACGACAGTTCACATTCATGTGGTGGAAAGCACGTTTTCAAATAGTCAGTCATGGTGTCCAGTAGACCCTGCATCTTGCCAGCATCTTCGCTTAATGAAACTGTGTTTTCTGAGTATTCTTGGTCTACTATGGAGTTTACAGGGACAACGCTAATCCCTGTAAAGTTAAACGAAGAAGTGTAGAACTCCATAAGCACATTTAGTACAGATTTGACCAAGATTAACTTGACTGTTATATCCTTATTGTGAATGCAGTAAACATTCAACTTTATTCTAACTGTCGATTGCCTTTGAGATGCTCATTTTCGCGAGTCGAACGGATTATTGCCTTCTTTACGAACACCTAGTAAAGTAATTTACGTATTTTGTGAAACTTTTTCTACGCTAAAATTCTCATTTTGAAAACTAGTACTCTTTTATTGTTATCATTTGGTTTACAACACTTCTTTGTCAATTCATTTAAACACTATCTTAAGATGGCCTTAATTTTTATCTGAAATGCATTTTGTAATTGTTTTAGTAATAAATGATTTTCCGCTTTACGTTTTCTTTATCAGTCGGCTGACATTTTGTAACCAAAACAGTAATAATAAGATGCTAACATGTTCCTGTTTTGTCATTTTTTAATATTTCTGTTCCTCTAAATTAACCCAAAATAGCTAAGTAGAATAATTATACCCGCATGCTTTTATGTACTGGTCAGTACTATATGTTTTATGGTTTAGGCATGTATACTTAGCACCCTTGTCTCGAGTTAATTTGATAGTTAATTTTTTTGTTACTCAGAATTTAGTGCTAACTTTATCATTGATAACATCAGTTCAGATTCATTCTTAAGTTTTACACATACATTTGTCTACATTGGTTGTTTTTCTTTTTTTTCTACTTGTTTATTGCTGTAGAATGGTCAGAGATTTCGTGTTATAGTTCTATCGAATCTTTCCCGAAGTCCTGTGCAAACACCTATCCCACCTAACTTGTCGCCGTTTTATTCAGATCCACCCAATTGTCGTTCAACTTGTATTTCAACCCAACCTGTTTGTATACCTTTAACCGCATCACAAATATCAGCATTCTCAGCTCCAAGTGGTAGCCTACTTGGGAGTAGTTTTGGTGCAATCACTGTCGACAATCATAACAATAAAAAAGAGTTAAGTCTAGTCACCAATGTTGTTCAAGATAAGATGGTGTCGAGAGACTATAACGCTGATAAACCTAATTCTTCACAATCGTTACATAGTCGTAGATTAAGTCAGTGTAATCGTTTATCAGAATTCTGCATAAATTTGTTTGTATACAAGAGTGCAAATGAACTGTCGAGATGCTATGAATTAATAAAAGATGATGCACCAAATTCTACCTATCGAAGTTCACATGATGGTTCTAAGACTAACCAGAAATCAATAAAAGTTTTGACTTATCTATATCCTAGTAACTCTGGGATACTTGAAAAGAGAAATACAATCCTTTCTGGACTATTATTTTCATCTCGGTAAATTGATTAATTTTTGTTACCATACGTAAATTCTTGTTTTCATTATTTGTATACATCAGTCAGTCGTCAACAGATTAGAATCTCTTCAAGCTATCATGTTTAATATCGGCATCTCAGATAGAAATCAGCATGAAAAAGTACAAATAAAGACAAACTTCGATCAAAGGCTGCATCGAAAGTTTTGTTTGAGAAACTAATAAAAGAATTACTAAATTTTTAAAGTGAACAAGAACTGCGGAAAAGCTTAAGGTCTAATAAGGCAACCACGAAATTATTATGTCAAGAATAGTGGGGAAATCAAGTTTTTTAGTGAAAGTAGGAGGAAAGTGAAATTATGATAATTAGTGGTATTGTATACGAACCTTATTGTGACTGACTTTACGTCGAGAACTAGCTGTTGATTTCATTTTCACCCTATGCTCACACTGACAGCTCTATGCTTGTCTGCACAACTCAAATATTGATGCTTTCTCACCCCAAACCTTCTATTGTACTTGTCCTAATATCGCGAGATTGAAATATATATTAGAGGTCGAAGACAGTTTCAGATGTTCGACCAATGTTACCTTCGTACAACAGACCGTGTGTCATTGTGCCAATTTGTCGGTAGTATCGAAGTCAGGGGGAGAGTTTTGGGCAGAAGAGCGAAGTATTTTGATGCGATTGTGAACCTTCTTCGATCGGGTGACTAAGACTTATATTACACATGCATAATCATCGTTTGCCTCTTCGCACAATTTTGACTGAAGTGGGCTCTGGTTGGAAATACGTTGGAGGCGACCATGTTAATAAATCGTATCAGTCCGTCAAAGCTGTGATTATTGGTTTGATCGTTGAGGAGAGATGTATACACTTCGGTTTAGTAGTCGCGTGATCACCGAAATCTATGGTTGGAGAATCTTGGCGATATAACTCAGAATCGGTCCCAGTGACGCAGATAAATATACATTAATATCTTGTTAATCGTCACACTGAATTTTATGATGGCCTCATTTCTTCTTGTTTCCTTTCCATAACTTTCTACCACATTTTACCGCTTTCTTGTCTATCTCTCTTCCTTTCATCGTGGTATATTTTACCTTGATATACTGATATGGGGTTTGACCGCTTGCATCATTACGTGGTAATGCTAGGTTTAAAGTTGATATTGAGTTATTGACATAATGGGGATGATGGACGGCGGTAGTGAAGACTCGTGAGGAAGCATGAATGAGAAGGGTCACCGATTACCAGTTAGATTTTGCATGCTAACAGAGGTAAATACGTAGTTTTTAATTACCGGTTGACCAAACTGTTGATGTTAATCTGTCTGATGTAACTGAAATAGAAGTTGATTTCTCTTCGTGTGACAATAGGGCTAGTCACATGGTGTTTTTCAAAGTGTATTAGGACTGCTGCATCCGTAACGTGAGAATGTTACCTCCTGTGATGTGAAGCCTTTGAGCAGAGTGGAATGCACAGTGTTTATGATTGGTCTTTTCTAAACCCTCGTTGTCAGAAGAATAGCAGTACAGTCGTACCTCCAAAAACAATTTCGGTAAATCTGTTTCAGTTAGTCATCGTAATAGACAGTCTCGACTATCACATCAAAATACGAGTATCCTCTGTCCTGTAAATTAATATGCTTCTGCATGTACATATGAATCGATAAGCATAGCTAGAGTTAGCAGAAAAATGGAACTGATTAACTTCCGTCTTAGTCTGCAATCTTTTTGTTACTTTAGGACAAGCTAGGCATCGGATTATATCCTCTTCAATGTAGCTTTAATTTTGACTGGTTCACTCAGCAGTTTCATCACGTTTAAAGCCGAAACATACAACCATGTCTCTTTTCACTCTTCCATATTTGGTAACGAGTTTTTGTGAGTAGTCATTGTTATCTAAGAGTTTTGAAATTGACTAATTTTACTGTAAGGTGTGTTACATTGGTGTAGCGATTGACTAAATCATTGCACCAAAGGTTGGAACCCTATTCCACTCATTTATCGTGGTTTAGGCAACCGTGTAGTGTTATTACTCCCCACAGTACATGTGGTTTATTGTTTAGGGGAGTCTTTCATTGGAGTGCAGACTGTCAACTGTCTTGCATTTGTTGACATTGATTGTTCGAAGTTAATGCATGAACCGTCTAAATGTTTAAACTTGAGAGGTATGAGTTCTGCGGCATATCTGAAAGTGCTGTGAAAATATCCTCTCTATGTAATCCAACTGGTAAATACTATTGTTCACCCCTATATAATTTTTTTGATGCTCTATGTTACATAAACCATATGGTTGTATTTCTGTTTGAATATTCACTCTTCATCAGTTTTTCACAGTCTGGGTATACAGTGACTAGATCATATTTTCTCTTTTTCTAGCTATAGAATTCCCTATTTTGTTGTAAATTCGGATTCATACAGAAGCTTACTGGATTCGCTTCTTCATTTAGCAACTGATGTCCAACCTAAGGAAAGTTTAACAGCATACACTTCAGAATTGAAAAATTCTTTTGTTGACTGGAGATTTTTAATGAATGTTGATTATTTTTCTATTATTTCTGAATGGATTGGTTTATCAGATCTCACTAAAAATGGGGAATTTATCGAGAGTGAATTTCGGTTTGTCGGTCTGTTAGCAGCTGTGATCATGTCAGACTGTAATAGAATGAATAATTATACCCGTTCATATTTGCACAACACAAAACATGGGTTATTCTTCTCGCCTCCATCAGTCACTACCACCACTGCTATTTGCTGGGATCCACAATCTCACTATAGATTAACAAACGATTATTTTCCACCTATTTCATCACACTTTATGCAGCTGGATCAAGTAAGATTAGTTTACTGTACAATTTTAGAATACACCTAGTTTATGTTGCACTTTTTCTTGAATGCTTGAACGCACTTGTAAAAATTATTTTCCTCGCATGATTGACATTCGCAATATAAAAAAAGTGATTGTAACTTTTCTTTGTGAAATACAGGTTCTATTGTGACTATTTTGCAGAAATCAATTTCTTTGCGTTATCAAAAAAAATCAAGGATTTTACGTTCAATTTTTTACCTATCACTTCCTCTGAGCATTACATTTTTAATTAAGTGATCAAGAGAATAAAACCCTGCATTGTCTTTGTTACATAAGTACTGAAATCGAAATCGTCCAATATTGTAAATGAAGTTTTTTTGACCAGTAATATTCATTTTTTCAATACCTGTATCGTGAATGTGTAACTCTTTTGTTGACCACAGACTGTATTTGTCGTCAAGCTTTGTAGGTATTTCGACACCGTGGTTGCATTTCATGTGAATCAATCAATCTAACGTGTATGAGAACCTATTCTGTTTGGTGTGTATTTGTTCTCATGAATTAAAATCATTGGTTATTCGAAGTTTAAAACAAGCAGTGAATGTGAAAAAGCAGGATTTAATGAATTCATAAATTTCAGTAGTACTCGTCAGCTGGATATTCTACATATTTGGTCATATATATATCATTGAGCAATGCAAAAGAACGTACATATATAACGTAGAGTGAGACATCGATCTAGGTGTAACAACAAAGAAATGAACAATTCTTATAGATCAAGTGGTAATCTAAAAGTAAGAGTGGATTTTCAAATGGAGTTGGTTGAAGATAGGTTACATAATTAATTATGAGTTTGGATAGTGGTGAAGTCTAAAGAATCATATGGATTTCAGGCAAGAGAATAATAATGATAATAATGTTGACACGAGTGAGAACTGAGTTGGTTTAGGGTGGATTATGTCGTTCAAAACAGGGTATTTAGTAATCACTTAAGACGGCATCATAAGAAAACAAGATGTGCGTGTTGAAATGAATAATAATGATAACAATGGTAATGAGAATAAGATTAACTAAGTTTTACTTTTTATTTAGCTAGATGATAGGTTTTGAAAGTAATTTACGCATAGTTTAGGTAATAAGGATGTGTCTTTTGTTATAATTTCAGTATCAGAATTTTTTTAGTTTATGGAATACAAAAATTAATTTTATTACGTATAAATGTTTCATGTAGTTGATTCTTCGTCGTAATTTCCGTTTTTCAGGTTGCAGAATCGCTTTCATTCCAAGCTTCAAATTCTTCAATGGCTTACATTCCACATGTCTTAGTCATCCATTACGTTTCTTCTTATTGGTCTGAAGTTGGAATGCACATTGAAAGTTCGCTTAAAAGTCTTTGGAGTTTACTTGACTCTTATCACCTCAGCGGACGCAATTTTCCTCTTATATTACTTGTCGCATTCTATTCAGGATCCTCTCAAAAAATCCCCATAGAAGCTGAAGGTATTTTCCATGGTTTAAAACTTATTCAGCACTTAGCTCAAACTTATGAATGTCCTCTTTTTTTGCCATCCTCGGAGTATGATCCAGTGAAGGCTGGATTCACTACATGCAGTAGTGAACAAGCCTCGTCTGTTGTGTCAGCAGTACAAGAAAATGGTCCAACGAATGTTTCGTTTTGTTCTGTCGATTGTAACAATATTCCATCTGCTGAAGTTGGGATGAAGCCTTCTTTGGGCTTCTTGTCAGTATCTCGGTCAGATGATGTAAGAGCTGGTGGGTTTTCAGTTTTCTGTTTGTATTTAGAAATTATATATATATATATATATATATATATATATGACCTTGCAACTGCAGTTTATTGTCGTCTAGTTTGCTTATAGCTAAAATATATTGAGCAATCTTCAGTATTTTAGTGATCGTGGTTGAGAAATTTCTCCTGGCTGCGAAAATGATTATCTGAATCCTTCTTTAATAAGGTTTTTGATTGATCCATTAGTAGTCAGCTCAATTGTGATTACTTTATTCCTGTTGTTCATTTTGTTAGGTCAGCTGACTGATTTTGGGTGCCTCCACTTAGTGAAATGTTATATTAGATGTGCATGTTTTAACTTTTATAATTCAGGCTATTTCCTTCACCATAACACTTAAGTGTTGGGAGTTTGATCTGTTACTTCCAGTTACTGAAAACCGTTCATGGTAGGAAACAGTGCTGACTTTTCACCAACTGTACGTAGCTTGGATAAATGAATGCTTCGCATAAAAGTCTTAATTATGGTGTTTCTTTCTATGTTTGGACTCTGTGTATTTTCATATAACATGCATTTATGTATCTATAACGTACACACCAAATATTTTGTTTCACGAATAGCGATTAGATTTAGTCTTTACCAAAACCAAAACCTTCAGGATGATATTTTAGTTTTCTGGCCTTGAATGTAGTATCCTCAGATATTTTTTATTCATTTTACTGCATTTGTTGTGATTTTTTTTCGAAAGTTCATGTCTGCTAATTTTTCTTTTTTCCAAAGTCCTTTATAATCGCGTTTTTGAAGGGAATTTTCATGGTTGGTTCCCTACTTCAGTAATCTCTGATGAAAGTCTAAATTTATCGGTCTCTTCAAAAACCGTAGCGAACACTGAAAATGATTTTTGAACATGCAGACATCAGAATGTGCGTCGTCTAAGATCCTTAGTGTACAACCTCATCTTCCATCTGATTTTCAAGTGATGAACTCAGCTCATCCATCAATCCCATACTCTTCAGAATATGGTGTAGTTACACTCCCTTGGTTACCCCTTAACCCAGCTGATGCGTTTCACATTCAGAGCCCAAGAACACCAGAAAACTTTCTCCCAGCATCTGTATCCTCTAATCTTATTGTTTGTAAAGAATCTGACAATCATAGACATTTGTCTCGAAAAAATCGAGTAAGTTAACATGAATGTACCGACTAAATTATAATCTTAAGGCTCTTATAAAATTTTGGTTCACTTAATCATTAACAATGCTGAATTTGATACAGTTTATTTTATTATAACTAAATGTATTAGTATACTACTAATAATATTTTACTGGTATAACCTGAAATAGTTAACGATTTTTGTTATCATCCGATTCTGTCATCTAGATTTAGATTGGTAATTTCTTAAACTCAGTTGATATTTACTACTGCTTGGATAATTCCCCGCACAGTTCTGATTAAGCCTTTTTTAAAATCTTACCAAGCGTCTCAATACATTTAGTTCAGACTGACATAAATATCTCTTGCAGCATTGACAAAATTTCTAACTCATTATTTTGATCACAATTGTTTGACATTGTTTGAGCTTTGGGATTATTACTATTATTATTTCAACACAAAGTTATTCACGTGAATAATTTCCTAACCGAGAACTATGGGACGAATATTGAAATAAACCTTGATGAAGAATTTTAAGAAAATCGACTTCTCATCATAACTTCAGTCTCACCTTGAATAAATCAGTGGTAAAGTTTCTGACTGCCTCATGGAGTAAGGGGGGTTTAAATCCGTGGAGGAAAATCACTCCCCTCAATGTTGCATATACGCCTTACTAACGAGTACCAGCAACCACAAAACCAGGGTACGACCCATTCCCTTCAACCTTCTAATTTCAGTGCATTATGTTACTGAGTCTCCTAGCTTAGCGATAAAATTTAAAAATGGTCGATAAAATCCAGTCAACTTTCAACATGAACTTGTCAGTCACCAATCAATTTATAATAACTTCTATGTCGCAATTTTCTTGAGTGAACTTGTAGGTCATTTTGGAATCACTTTCGTGTCGATACTTTCTGTACTGAATTTTTTAAAAGATTTTTAATTATTCTAGAATGTCCAAACTGAAGTAGGTGATTCTTAATGTACAACTTATTGGCTGCACAACAGACTGATTCTCACTGCGCTAAAACTTTTCGACAATTTTTTGTTACCAGCAGAGGTTCATGTGTGTCTTGGTAAATCCAAGACACGTCTATATAGTGTCTTTTGGAAAATAGAATATTCCCATTCGTTCTTCAGATTTTTATTTTAATAACCAACTTTTTCTCCAGTGAACACTTGTTTATTGAGTACAAGAAATTAAGGTTGAATGAATTTTGTGATGCCATAGTTTGTTCTACTTTTTAATTTCCTTAAAAATATTTGATCCCAATTGATATACGCTTTAATGCTGCTACTTAATGTCACTTGAATCAGTCGATTTTAACGAAAACTGATTTTCATCAAAGTCTTGTCAGGCTCAACTATTAGATATCAATTTCTCATGCATTGAAGCATACACGTCAAGTGCCTATAGATAACTACACAACTGATGTATGTACAATAACTCAAGTTTGGGCTTCATGAGCTGACAAGTTGTGTAACTTGAAGTAGTAATTTATGAAACTCATATCTAGTTAAATAGGTAATAGGTGTAAAGTTAAAATGCAATTATAAGAGGAAATACTTGTAACAGGACTTGTTAATTAAGTAAATAAAATATCGGAAATGAATGCAAGTATTCACAGGAAATAAAACAAGCAGTGTTTAGTATTCATCTGGATATGAAAATCGAAATAATTCAAACATTGATATCACTTTAGAGATATCATAAGATTGAGGGAGAGTGATCGTTTGAGCAGACTTTTTACAAACACAATTTTAACCTCATCATCCTCAAGGTAACCTCTTACTTTCTGGAAAAAGCGAAGACAGTAGTAGTCTGTATGGAATGTGATGTACTTTAAGAACTATGTGTTTGTATTTACCGAATGGTTGGTCTTGGTTGGATGAGTGCGTTTAGTGCCAGTGGTTGGTGTGTGATCTGTGTCGACTTCAACTGTTACCCAGTATTGCTAGTTCGCATATTAATATCGGCTGACTGGTTGCTGTCGCTTCTCTGTTATTCACCCTCACTGATATGTGCCTAAAAAAGCTCTCATAATACGTCTAATTTAGCTTGCTCCACAAGAACAGTTGGATTTATTTGTGCACATGCACTGTTTCTAAAGCTTATTCTTAGCATGGCTCTTAGAAAAATATTTTTTAGGTTTCTTCGTAAACACTTACTCAGTATTTCTGGAACTATTCCTCCACTGTTCGTCAGAGTTATAACGAATTCCCGAAGACTATCTCTGTCGTCACTTTTTCTAGGCTTTTCCACCATATTTTTGATAAAATTATCTGGGTAACCATTCCTGATGTTTTCCCGAAATTTTTCGTTCCACTATCTAATATATCATCTAAATATATCTTTTCTAGCTTGGTCATTTAGGAATAAAACATTATTCTAGAATGGGAAAAAGCTATGAGTGTTAATATATAGGCTTCATATATACTGATGTGTTTAATTTTCGTCTTCTCTCCAAATTACAAAAATGCATGACGACCAAATTCAGCTCTGCTTTTTTGGGTTTGTGGGAATGTGACCAAACTATGGTTGCTGTTAAATTCCGGTGATAAAATCTCTAAACTGTCGTTTTCACTTATCTAGTAGCAGTACAAGTCCTTCATTTTTTCTGACTTCAGCTTGCTACTCCAGTTTGAACATGAGACGCTCACGACTAGTGTTGCTGGAATAAAGCTCCTCGCAACTTCCCCTATTTCTTTGTTTCCCCATAAAACACAAAATTTGCATTCATCGCGCATTGTAAGTAAACTCCTTCAGTTCTTTTAGCGATAGAGCTACGGTAATCTTTATTGTGTCGCGTATGTATTCCTGTTTCCATAAGTGGGACATTCGTGATTAATGTGCTCAATTGTAATGTTATCTTTTGGTATCAGATATCTTGGTTTTTAATTAGATCAATTAAATCGAACAGATCCTACACCAACTTATCGGTTGTAGGGTTCTTCCTAACTATTCGGCAATAATATGCTAAGGAGAATTTAATATACCTAATATTAAGCTCAATGCCACTCCATTTTTTTAAGTCTTATGTGTTTCAGCTGTTCATATAGGGAAATAGTTATAATATTCCTTTCAATGATTTCAACATAGTTTTGATTTTACGTTCCAATTTTCAATCTTATTGTTTACACTTCCTGTTTCAAATCAGTTTTGCTTTATCCTCTGTTAAATTTTTTTCGCTCAAAGCTCAGTTCAATGGAGCGGTGTGACTCACAACCTATATCATGTGATTTTTGTCAGAGTCACCCAAAATGCATTCAATTTCCTCTTCCCGAAGAGTTCAGTTCAGTGTGTGCCCAGTCGTATTCTGCTGCTATTCCCCTGTCTGGTATGAATTCCTCTGTAGAAGAGTATTACACTGAACTTCCCAAGATTGGACAGTCAGATGTAAGTATATTTTTTTCTATAAGACATTTTGCTGTACATGCCCGTCTTGTGTTAAGAGTTATTATGCAATTTCATATTTACTTTCCTTCATGTATCTGTTATTGTATATTATTACTGTTATTATCAGAGCGCAAACTTAGTACAAAATGTGCAATATAAAATTATAAACCAACATTATGAAGACAAAAGTGAAATAGAGAATGGAAAGGAAAAAATAACTGAGTAATTTACAAGTAGTCTTAAGTATACCTTCAAGGAAACACTACTTTTGTTTAAGTTTCACTAATAGAGGAACAATAATGCTGCAGCATGATTGCCACTGCTTTCACTTCAGGTTCATATCTTCTGTCGTCCCAAGCCGCTGATCAGCATTAACTCTCGAACCCTATCCAGAGAGTCGTGAGACACCTACATATGCTAATCAAACGTGACTATCATTTATCTAACGACACCAGGTTACACACACACTTCTGCCGCACTTCCTCCAATCGGTCTCAGGGAGAGTAAACGATGAGTGGTATGGGAGCCGCATAGATGGCATGCGTAACGCATGTTTGAGCCATTAAGCCTGGTGTTTCAAAGAACTACATTCAAGGAGTAAGAATCTACATCGCATCCAAAGACGCCACCTCACCTCAGAATTACTTAAACAGTATTCCCATCGGATCTGAACAATCTCGCGGAGAAAACTGTAGTCAAACACAGTCGTCGAACATCCTCACCTTGGAAGGACAAGGTTTCACAGTCGTAGAACAGAACCATTCGCATCGGCGTCTTGTATACTTGGCGTCTTACAGCAAAGTTAGCGTTATCACGGTGCCGAAGGTGGTCCTGATTGGCGTATGCCAACCTGGCTTTCGATATACAGGTGGAAATCTTATTTGTTACACCTCCGCCAGCACCCATGCAGTGTTCTAGATACGCAGGCCTTTTGACAACTACCAGTGGTTCACTACTAAGAGTGAGTAAAAGTGCGAGGTTCTGTCAATCTTTTAAGAAGAAACTCTTTGTACTTTGGTACAAAGGAAACTGATTACCAACTGATTGAGTGAGGTTTTAGTAGCCTGTATTTTGTCACGCAGTAAGACAGTGTCGTCTGCATACTCTAGATTTAAAAAAAACTTTCACTTGGTAACAGACCTACACCAACATACTTTTCCTTCAAGGTTATTCCTAGACTGTCATCAATGGTTCATTTGAAAAGGAGTAACGAAATTGGGCAGCCGTCCCTAACTCCACTATTAGTTTGGAATATTAGAGGTAGGTGAATGTAAGCTTTCATTCTACCTGAGGTGTTGAAATGTAGGACTTTCAAAGTGTTGACAAAATTCTTAGAGACACCCCTCTCTAACAGATGACTCCAGAATTAAGCCCTGTCTAATGAATCGAACACACAAACAACCGTTACTTTACAGTAAATGCTACGGTATTCCACCATCAGGAAATAAAACCTGACCTTCTTGCGGATCAGTTTTTCACACAATTTGCAAAGTATGGTAGCAGCCAACACTTTAGACACTACCGGTAGAAAACCGACGATTATAATTATGTCTGCGAGATTTGAGGTTTATTCTTGGACATTTCAGTACCAGGCTAGGCAACCTCATCAGCATTTACTTCATATAGAAGTTAGGCGTTTTCAAGCTGCATGAATATTTATGAAGGATATTTACTAACTTAGAGCCATATTGGTTTTTTTTCAGAGTTTGGCGTAATGCTTGGTCGTTTTGCAGTCGGCTGGTCTCTTCTTAGTAGCCCATATATTGCGTCAATGTCCACCTGTTGATTGACATTTGATTGGAATACCATGCTTCCAGGAACTCTCTTGCAGTTTTTGAGCTTGCTTTTAGTATTTTCACATTATCTCAATTCTGTTCTACGTGTGTCGATGTCAATGATGATGTACCAAGTCGTTCGACTGCAAATTGGTGCTCATAAATTCTTTGGCCTATTTGACGACTGGACTAGCCAGCATAGTGATGTTGACGGTCTTTTCAACGAATTTCGCAGATTGTATCCGTGCTGTCTTCTTGGGCAGCTTACATAATATATTGTGTAGAAATTTGTTTGGCTAGTGAAGTGAAGTAATCGATCGATAGTTTCCGTGACAACTTTGATACATGATAAACTAATTCGTTTTTTAGGTTGAGGTAATTGTTTTGACGTGTACTCTTTTCTTGATGAATTTGATCGGATAGTCATTGACTCTGAGAATTTTATAAACTTGGTTTTTCTTCTGACTTCTGCAGTTGTCGAGTCCTGTGATGAGTCTTAGCACATCCAAATAGTGCTTGTACACAACTCCTCTTATGAAACGTTAGTTAGTTACTGTCGTAGTTCAAAACTGGATACATATATTACCTCCCTGTACACTTCCGTTTCTAAGCTACCATCGAATTTTATAATGATAAGAGCGTCTAAAACGCTACTTTGTTACTATCATCTCTTGTAAAGTGAATACCTCCAAAGGCCTTCGTTGATGAAACCGAATATGTTTTCTAATTCACTTTTCATCATTGAAAATCTTTACGAAGTAGCGAAACGGAATTTTCGGTTTGATTATTAGAATAACTATTGAATCCAGTCTCTTCATGGCTTCTTGTCAGTACAGCTAATGCTCATTTATGCGTCCTGGAGTTTTAACAGGCAGCCTTGAAACTAACTCACTTTGTTATTTAGCTTCATTACTAGATGAAACCAGTTTACTTACATCGGCACGCTTTGGACAACGGTTTCCATGACCACCAAAATGTGAGATGAAATTAACACACACTAAAGCGTGATCAGGATCGAGACGAGTGCTCCAGTACGAATGCCAGCCCTGAATACTGCCACGCTCCCGGTAACTGATTGTAATATGATCCATTTAGGTTCAGGTTTGAGTGGTAAAGGGAGGACACCAGGTTCGGTAACAGAGATGGTTGTGCTGGAAGTTGCTGTTGGCTAGAATCAGGTTCTGATCCACTCAGGGCTCCAGAAGATGTTCCCTGTTATCTAACCTGTAAGCAACTAAACCCCATTGACCACCTAAATGACTCTCCTTTGGTTCTAGATGTCAGACTTGTGCATTCAACTCCCCAGCTAGTACTAAAATATTTGTAGAGTTCACTTGATAGAGATTATCACTCAGTTGATGGTAAAACTCATCGTTAACTGCATCCAAGCTGTAATCGGTTGGAGGCACTAGCAGAGATGATGAGGAGACATTGTTTTTTGCTACTTACCTTTCATTCCAATTGAACCTTCTAGCTTGGTATCATACAGACAACTGTTGATGAGGACCTAATCGATTAGTCCAGCTTTGGCTATGGCTTTTAGTGCTACCCCTGGAATACCGGCTGCTGGTGTCACAGGGTCCTCGGTGAGTGCACTGTGAATACACATTTTGAGCTGATAGATGAGAAATCTATACAAAGCACTTCACTGGGAGCGTGTATATGAGTCTCTAAAATACACCATACCTCAGCGGTGAACCTTTCCAGACTTCTTGCCAAACTTGTCTGTTTTCCAATCTGCATCAAGGGTCGAACTTTGAAAGTGGACAGTTTAATACTTTGGTTAGTGAGATCACCGTAAACGATAGGCGCTCATAAAGCCTCAGGAGAGAGGACTAGGACGTTGGGTAGGTTACTCTGAACCACAACTCAACTGGCCTTCAGTTACCCAACACCCACTCTGAACGTGAATGTCACGTAGATGCCGGTTCCACAAATCTCATCACAGTTGAGAAGGTTCTTCGGAACCTGAAACAATGCAACGTAAGTGGAGCTCACGGGTTACCAGCCGAACATTTTGAGGACTGGGGTGGGAAATTGCTGATTAAAGTGACGGAAGTACTAGGTAATCTATGGGAATCAGAGGTATTGCCTTCAAACTGGTGCACTCCACTGATCACCCCAGTACATAAGAAGGGAGAGAAACCTTCTTGTGACAACCATAGTGGAATCAGTTAGTGTCCATGATCCTTGGGTTCATAGTTATCGGACGCCTAAGTGTAGTTTGAGAACAGCAAACTCCAGAAAATCAGGCAGGTTTCAGACCTGGATGACAAAACATCGATCATATTCTACCCTACGACAGGTTACGGAACACAGGCATACCTACCGGCCAATGGCCAACACTTGCCATATTTCTTCACCTGAAGGTGGGATTTGACTCAGTCGATCGTGAGGTGTTGTGGCAGTGTCTGACTGCGAAGGGAATACAGAGCAGGTAATATAACGCAGTCGTCTGGGGCTTATGGAGAGTCATCATCTAGATTAATGACAAACTAGTGGGATTTGTCAACTTGCGTCACCTCCCACTCCAGCCATGAAGATATTCGACCATCTATCAAAGGATGAGTATACTGCACTGCAGTTCATTCTGCCCTGACCTGTTATACGGCTGTGAGACATGGCTGTTAATAGTAGAAGACATGAAGCGGTTACAGGTCTCCGACCATAGGTGTCTTCGTGGCGTTGGTCGCTTTTTGTGGAATCACTGTGTTAGCACTGTTGAGGTTAGGCGCAGGGCACTAGACAAGACAGGCAAGCCGGTTGATGAGGTTGCGGAACTTCGTCGACTGAGGTGGCTTGGACACGTGCTGCGTACACTGAGACATCACCTACCTCGAAGTGCCGTGTTATCGGAAGTTTGACTAGGTAGGAAGAGGGTTCAAGATGACTAAACCAAGATGTGGCACCAGTCAGTGAAGTCTCTTACTGTTGATCTGAGCCGTATGGGCAGATGCAAAATGCCTAGTCGAGGTCCACGAGATGAAAGCAATCAGTGATTGGAAACTCTTGGTCACATGGTTGAAAATCGGTCACAATGGTGCACATGTATTCACTCCTTGACATCTTTTAAAGCTTGAATATTCACACCAACCGTTATCTTCAGATTGTTTTTCTCACACAACTTAATCCACTTTAATGTCACTCCCTTTCTATCCACCTGTTCTTTCTGTACTACTGTGAGGTGTGGAAGGTGAGGTGATGCACCTATTTTTGATATTGTTTGCTGATTTTGTTTATCGCTGTCTCTGACTTCTGCTATGCTACGGACTTGCTTATGCTAATGACCTACGAACCTATACTAGTGCAATGCTTGCTCCATCGATGTCCTTCTATTTCGGAAAGGTCTGTTTGGTAGTGATAAAATTGACGGCAGATACGATTTTTGTGTAACTTGCAACTCTGTGATGGGTTTTTAAGGGGAGCTCGTACTGCTGACTGAATGAGAGTATGACAGCAGTAATGTGTTTTCCGCAGGTGAATAATACTACCATACTAATTGTACTTACCTTGTGAGTAGAGCGTGGAAAAGTTTGACCCCCATAATAGCACCTTGCGCATACCGATTTGGATGGTAAAGGTTCGTGGTCGGATCCGAAAAAAATGCTTAAATCCAAAACTTCCAAAAAAGACATTCTGTGACCACTCCTTTGCGCTTCACTATCACTTCTACCCAATACCCGTGAGCAGTGTATGGATGCTAGTGTTAAGGAGACGAAAAAGGTAGCTATAATATGTAACAGTTAACTGTTATATAGACTCATCAAGGAAACTGGGACGAAACTTCAATTGTTTTTTAAAGATAGCGGAAAGAGGTGGGTTAGAAATTTACTGGCAGGAGACGCGAGTGAAACGATTTGACGGACAGTTCAGCTGATGTCCTGCTACTCTTAGGCTGCACACTGTCTAGTCGCATGCAGAAGGGAACGTTAAGATAAAATCTCTAATTCTTGCAAAAGTTGGGAAGACTGTGAGTGGCATGAAACGATAAAGGACACTTGATGTGTTTATGGATGGCAATCCAGCGTAACCTGGCTTCTGAAGACTGTTATTGGTCCCATCTCGTTGGTTCTAGTCTCTGATTGTGCCGGTCTTTAGGAAAGACGAGAAATCCTAATATGATGACCTGGGAAATCAGCCTGACTAAAGTAGGGTCCTAAATCTTCGATTTTTATAACCATTCGACACGTAGGTAAAGCTCAGGAACTGCGAAGCTGAGAAAACCAGGCAGGTTCCAGATGTAGTTGTACCAGATACTCACTCTGCCCCCAAACATTGAAACACAGACACGTTTACAGACTCTTGACACCGTCTGTATTTCTCCACCTGAAGATAGGGGTCGACTCTGTCTACTGAAAGGTCTTATGACAGTGTCTTTCACTGAAAGGGGCACTGGTTAATTACATCACCTTATTGAAGGTGTTGTATTTGCAGACCCGTAGAGGTGTTAGAGCCTATGATGAGATATCAGGTGAGTTGTGTATATCAATTGGTGTTCTTCAAGTATGTTCACTTTCTCCATTCTTATATAACTCTGCCAGAGACATTTATGCGGGTCTCCCTCTTATTCTACACAATAGGTGTTGACCTGGTTGTGAGAAACTCCCCCATTAGATTTAGAGTAAGTCGGGGAAGTAATCCCTTTGAATGAAGACTGACAAGATGCGGAGTCTTCTGGATACTGCATGGAATATATTTCTCACTACTCAAATTATGTTCATAACTAGTATCCGTCTCTTATCAGCACAATCTGTATGATGATGTGACTCATCGACCTAAACATTCGACTTTCACTCACTCGGTCCTAGGTTCGAATCTCGCTATGTCTGCTATGTCAATTCACTTTGTGGGATGTTTCTTTACAGCTGATAATTTTGTTTTAAGACGCTGAATAGATTGATGATCTGATTGATTTCAACCTTATGAGTGTTATGTAAACGTAAACAATATATAGCGTAGTGGTTACATTTCTAATTTATAGATGCTGAACTAACTTCTGTTATTTCTCTTTTTCTTAATTCCAGCCATTCGATTAGTGTTATAGCTATTTCACTGAAGTATTATCACATTATTGTTGTTTTAATAAATAATTAATTTGTAGTGACAGATTAGAAACTTTTTCTTACTGTCAACTGTTTGTCGTTTCAATGTTAGATTGGTAGTTGAGCTCCAGTGATTTTGCCGCTCGAGTTCCTGTTGTCTTTTATCACACGTATGTAGTTTTACTTGGATATACTATCAAATATTTAACATTTTTTATGAATTTGTGCAATCTGTTGTTATTTTGTATTTACTTGTTGTAACGTTGTTTTGTTCTGTGTAAATATATGTATGTATAAACTTTCATTGAAAAAGTTATTTACGCTGTTTAAACAGGCTTTAGGAATGGAGTCATATCGTCCACATCCTAACAGACCTAAACGTCCTCACCCGCGTATTTATTCCTATTCATCTTCTCCTTCGTCTGTATCTCATGAACAAGGCGTATTATCTTCCGACATGATGTTTGATCAAACGAAAACTGGATTTTGTAATTCGTTATTCCAAAACACATCACCTCATACTTCTGATCACCTGATTGCCGATAATGTTTCAACTGTTTATGCTGAAGTTAACGATGCATTTGTATACAACACTCTTCCATATCACTGTTCTTCACTGGTACCGTCATCAAAAGTGATTTTTGTCCCCAGCAAAACAATTTCAAACATAGATCATTATGAAATAGCAGATTATTCTCTGCAAAAGCTTACCAAGTTAACGTTAAATTCCTCTTATCCTCATCATGTCCACACCTTCAAATCCTGTGATGATATGCATCGAAATAGTAAGTATGATACTCCTTACTTATTTGAGTTATTTTATCTCGAATTTGTATTTAATCAAGCCTTTAATAACCTGTCTTCAACATTTTAAAGGTTGTGTGGTATTTTAAGGGAACAGAAACCTTAGTCTCAGTTATCCTAAAAATAAGTCTCTGGACTATTGTTTTGTTCCTTTACTATTCTGCATACTAACTGTTGGGTTAACTAAATATAAATTTCTATTTTTTATTGCCACTTGCAATAAATCTAGTAAAGCATTCTAATAAAGAAAGTGTGTTTCAACTTGGGCATATTTTATACATTAGGCTGCGAAAGTCACTTATTGTGTGATGATTTATGATAAAACTCGATTGCCCAGGTTAAAGTCAATCGACCAGAGTTTCAATTGGAGACTGTTTGCTCAAAATTAGAATACTTAATCGGCTGAGCCGTATCTCATTTTATAGGGTAGTTTAGGTTGACTAGTGAGTATAAAATTAAGAACTTTCTTCAAACGTGCATATGTATGGCATCTTGCAGTAACGATTCCTACAAGGCTTTGCAAAGCTAATCAAACTTACAGACGAAACGTTATATAGAAAGACTGTGTATACCACCAATTTAGATGTCTAATTATCACTATATTCAACACAAAAGTTTTTCCTCTCATCATCTGCAGTTAACATTCGTTTTTTATATTGCTTCAAACTCAATGATGGTACAGTGTGCGTACTAAGAACGCCACGTAATCTTACAAAAATAAAAAGATATAAAAGTGACGTTGTGAGAAAACTGCAGCATAATCGTTACTGGTTGCGCATGTTAGCCGTATTTGATAAAGCTTTAACCCACTGTCCTTAGTCCGAAAACTAATGGTGCACCAGTAAATATCAAGCCAACAAACCTATGCTCCACCCTACGAAGGCGCATAATCCACTAACCACCTCTAACTGACTCTATGACTGAAAACACCAAGGCAGAACCTCGCACACAAATCCATCGGTTAAAGTTGCCACACTTCACAATAGTACAGAAAGAACAGGTGGATAGAAAGGGAGTGACATTAAAGTGGATTAAGTTGTGTGAGAAAAACAATCTGAAGATAACGGTTGGTGTGAATATTCAAGCTTTAAAAGATGTCAAGGAGTGAATACATGTGCACCATTGTGACCGATTTTCAACCATGTGACCAAGAGTTTCCAATCACTGATTGCTTTCATCTCGTGGACCTCGACTAGGCATTTTGCATCTGCCCATACGGCTCAGATCAACAGTAAGAGACTTCACTGACTGGTGCCACATCTTGGTTTAGTCATCTTGAACCCTCTTCCTACCTAGTCAAACTTCCGATAACACGGCACTTCGAGGTAGGTGATGTCTCAGTGTACGCAGCACGTGTCCAAGCCACCTCAGTCGACGAAGTTCCGCAACCTCATCAACCGGCTTGCCTGTCTTGTCTAGTGCCCTGCGCCTAACCTCAACAGTGCTAACACAGTGATTCCACAAAAAGCGACCAACGCCACGAAGACACCTATGGTCGGAGACCTGTAACCGCTTCATGTCTTCTACTATTAACAGCCATGTCTCACAGCCGTATAACAGGTCAGGGCAGAATGAACTGCAGTGCAGTATACTCATCCTTTGATAGATGGTCGAATATCTTCATGGCTGGAGTGGGAGGTGACGCAAGTTGACAAATCCCACTAGTTTGTCATTAATCTAGATGATGACTCTCCATAAGCCCCAGACGACTGCGTTATATTACCTGCTCTGTATTCCCTTCGCAGTCAGACACTGCCACAACACCTCACGATCGACTGAGTCAAATCCCACCTTCAGGTGAAGAAATATGGCAAGTGTTGGCCATTGGCCGGTAGGTATGCCTGTGTTCCGTAACCTGTCGTAGGGTAGAATATGATCGATGTTTTGTCATCCAGGTCTGAAACCTGCCTGATTTTCTGGAGTTTGCTGTTCTCAAACTACACTTAGGCGTCCGATAACTATGAACCCAAGGATCATGGACACTAACTGATTCCACTATGGTTGTCACAAGAAGGTTTCTCTCCCTTCTTATGTACTGGGGTGATCAGTGGAGTGCACCAGTTTGAAGGCAATACCTCTGATTCCCATAGATTACCTAGTACTTCCGTCACTTTAATCAGCAATTTCCCACCCCAGTCCTCAAAATGTTCGGCTGGTAACCCGTGAGCTCCACTTACGTTGCATTGTTTCAGGTTCCGAAGAACCTTCTCAACTGTGATGAGATTTGTGGAACCGGCATCTACGTGACATTCACGTTCAGAGTGGGTGTTGGGTAACTGAAGGCCAGTTGAGTTGTGGTTCAGAGTAACCTACCCAACGTCCTAGTCCTCTCTCCTGAGGCTTTATGAGCGCCTATCGTTTACGGTGATCTCACTAACCAAAGTATTGAACTGTCCACTTTCAAAGTTCGACCCTTGATGCAGATTGGAAAACAGACAAGTTTGGCAAGAAGTCTGGAAAGGTTCACCGCTGAGGTATGGTGTATTTTAGAGACTCATATACACGCTCCCAGTGAAGTGCTTTGTATAGATTTCTCATCTATCAGCTCAAAATGTGTATTCACAGTGCACTCACCGAGGACCCTGTGACACCAGCAGCCGGTATTCCAGGGGTAGCACTAAAAGCCATAGCCAAAGCTGGACTAATCGATTAGGTCCTCATCAACAGTTGTCTGTATGATACCAAGCTAGAAGGTTCAATTGGAATGAAAGGTAAGTAGCAAAAAACAATGTCTCCTCATCATCTCTGCTAGTGCCTCCAACCGATTACAGCTTGGATGCAGTTAACGATGAGTTTTACCATCAACTGAGTGATAATCTCTATCAAGTGAACTCTACAAATATTTTAGTACTAGCTGGGGAGTTGAATGCACAAGTCTGACATCTAGAACCAAAGGAGAGTCATTTAGGTGGTCAATGGGGTTTAGTTGCTTACAGGTTAGATAACAGGGAACATCTTCTGGAGCCCTGAGTGGATCAGAACCTGATTCTAGCCAACAGCAACTTCCAGCACAACCATCTCTGTTACCGAACCTGGTGTCCTCCCTTTACCACTCAAACCTGAACCTAAATGGATCATATTACAATCAGTTACCGGGAGCGTGGCAGTATTCAGGGCTGGCATTCGTACTGGAGCACTCGTCTCGATCCTGATCACGCTTTAGTGTGTGTTAATTTCATCTCACATTTTGGTGGTCATGGAAACCGTTGTCCAAAGCGTGCCGATGTAAGTAAACTGGTTTCATCTAGTAATGAAGCTAAATAACAAAGTGAGTTAGTTTCAAGGCTGCCTGTTAAAACTCCAGGACGCATAAATGAGCATTAGCTGTACTGACAAGAAGCCATGAAGAGACTGGATTCAATAGTTATTCTAATAATCAAACCGAAAATTCCGTTTCGTTACTTCTAATCATGGTTGCGGAGTATTACGCAAGGATTATGTTCTCTGCACGTCTCTGACTTTTGTCGTTTTCCGGTTTTATTGTTCGACGCTAGGGCTCTTGGTAAATCTTTGTGTAATTTGTTTTTTGGTCTTCGTCGATTTTATCGGCGTCTGTATTATGTTTTCTTGCATCTATCATGCCGGGTGACTTCACGGAAATCCACTGACAGGTGCCAATCTTTTAATGTGTGTTACCAGTTGTTTTAAGTGCTTTTTCTGCAGCAGACTTTATATTCTGCCATTTTTACTCAGTTTTAGCACTGCTGTCACTTTTTGATAAGTGCTTAGTTATCCCTCCTTAAATGCACACTTGACGATCGCATCTTTCAATCGATCGCAGATGGGTGTCATTGCCTGTTGTTTCCTGCGGCCAGCAAGGCTCAGATATTCATGATCCCATGTTAGTGCGTGGTCGGAGTCCGGACTGGTACTCTAGAGAGAGCTGCAATCCTTCAGTGATGGCTTGTAGCAATGTGATTTATCTGTGCCTATTGTCGGTGTGAAGTTGGCGGAGACCATGTGATGAGACTGTGTCTTCCCTTTTGCCTAAAGTTATTGCTGTGTGGAAACGAGTGATTGTCGGGGCGAAACGCAAGAAACGATCACTGTTGTCGGTTCGTTGGCATTGGATTCCATAAGTACCTCCCGAATGCCTTTCTGATTGACTTAGCCTCTCTACTTGAGCGTTAAAGTCATGTGTCATTATGACCACATATGAACGTTCGCTTTCTTTAGCAAGGTTGACAGCTTCTCATAGAATTCACTTTTTGCGTCATCCGAACTGCAGTCGGTGGGTGCGTAGGTGGAGATTACGAATAGGCATCTGGTAGTCTCACTATCCTTCCCAGTCCTTGCAGATCTATTCAGTCGGACAACATATAGACGTCTGTTTACTGGAATCCAGTATAGAAGCGCACTTTCTGCTCTACAACCTAATGCTATACCTACACCAGCGAGTTCATGGGTCTCCGGATACCCTTACAATGAATTTTGAAGATTCACTACTGTGGTCGGATCAGGTCAATTTAATAACCACACTCAGGTCCTGTACACATGTCTTAGAGACGCAGCATAAATCCATGGCTAGAGATTCCGGAGTTCTACTGAACTGTGCTTGCTGTCCGATTTAGTATAGAGTTCGAACGTTGAAAGCTGGGGTAAGAAATCTATAGCGAGGTCTTAGCAGTCTATTCATCAGGTTTCGATGTCTTTGATCGTTGGCAATGTTTGCGGGATGTGTGGTCGTGGAAGTAAGGGGAAGGGAAAGGAGTAGACAAAATTGAAGAGGATAGGTTATGTTTGATTGGGTCTTGTGTACTACTGGAAACGTGTGGACGGTTGACATTTCCGGGCTGCGCACACTGTGGAAAGCTATTCCCTCTTAAGGCACCCGAAAGAGAAAAAGACACGTGTGACCTCAGAGTTCCATGGGGCATCTGATGGAGGTCTATTACACACGGCTTCTCGAGCGATCTTGCTTTGAAGTTTGGTTGTTCTGGCGCGGATAGACGTAAAGCCTAAACTGCCGGCACCTGAAGACCGTGAGGCAGGTAAAGTGTGCTTTTTTGGTGACTGACCTTTTCTAATCTCACCCCTTCCCGTCGGAAAGGTAGGGTCAGCGTGGCACAGCTAGTCATTCAAAGGAAACACCTTACTGCTGTCACACCCCATCCAGCTAGCAGCAGTACGACTTCGCCCTCAGAGTGTAGTAGTTTATACTGCAAAGGTAACTGCTTTTCGTCTTACCAGTATCTAATAGATCTTTCTGGTATGGTATGACCTCAAGGGAACAAGCGTTCCAGCAGCATAGCTCTTTGGTTCATTGTGATATGCAAGCCCGACCACCACGTCGTGTAGCAGCTGCTGGTCGGGATTGACCACATCTACACATCTTCCATTCTGTCTGACATCAAGTGAACAGTGTACTGTAAGTGTGATGACATATGTAGAGGATTCAAAACCGCGGAAACTAGTTTTGGAATATCTTTATTCAGTAGATGATGACTTTTACCACGACCAGATTATGCACTATCGGACCTCGTAATTACTTACGTATTGATGCCACTGAGTGCGGTCAATCCTTGAGTAGGATTTTTGATCGAAAACATATTTGTCTAACAACCCTAACCTGCATTGGTGAGGCTTCACAGTCATAGATCATAACTTCCCTCACGAGGGCCATACAGCTGACGTTTTACAAGCGTGCTAACTTAGCGCGGTGCTGAAAGTGAACTAGATTAGTTTGTACCATTCAGGCCTTTGATGTACTGTCAGAAATCTCAATAACCATATCGACGCTTGCACAACTATCCAGATATATAAACTTTTCGAATACCAAGGGTGAGTGCAGATAAAAGTCTTTTCAATCTTGTAGAATCAGTTTTGTATCGGATAATGCAGAACATATGCTATACTTATACAGATCATCAACTGATTGAGTTGTGATTGGGCTATATGTTATCGTATACATAGTGCATCCAGTGTACATTTCAAGAAGTTTGACAGCTTGTTTTTGGATCTATATTGACTTGACTGCAGTTCACTGATCAATGCATATCAAGAATAATGAAATATTAAATTTAGGTTGGAAATTTTACAGTTTATATTTCACTCAGGATAATTGAGAGAGAAATATACTTTTGTTCTTGATATAATCTTCATAATTGTGTGTAAAGTTTTTCACATTGTCTGACTAAGATATGTGCATATTATCATAGTCTGTCACTGTCATAATACTTTTTTTCTTCAAAACTAGGTTTAACTGTTCCACTTGATTCAAATGAAAATGGTTGCTCAAATTCATCGTATATTCACCAGTTATCGAATAAGTTTTCATGTGATAAATTTTCCAATGATATCATTTCTTCCCGAAGTAACTCACAATTTAACCCTAAACTAAAAAACTTGCCAGCTTTACCATCCATCGAGATTTCGCCTTCTACATTACCTTCTTGTTCGTCTTCGTTATCCTCCATTCCTTTCTTTTGGAGGACTAGTCACGTGATATGCCTTCCTGTTTTGGGTTCTGCGGATTCGTTCAACGGTAGTTTTTCTTCTGTACCATGTTCTTGGTCTACATGTGTACATACATTGTCAACAGAAAATTTCGACGGTGTTCATAAAGCGTCTGATACTTCAGCTTCAGGTTTACAAGGTGTCTGTAAAAATTGTCGTATCAATCCCTCTCAACTTTGTGGTTCTCTGATATCAACGGGAATTCAGTGCAAATCGTTGAATTCAGTCTCCCATCCATATCAGGTAGGTCTTATGTTTTTTCATTTACATTTTATCTTTAAATGTCTTATGATTACCATTGTTGTATGTTGCACGACTAAGTTGTAGCCAGTTTTATTTTCCTGGCTAGGTTGTACTCTTCGTATTTATTGCTTTTTCAGACCCTTTGAAAACCTGTGCAAGTTAAAGCACAGAGAAATGACAAAGCGTTTTTGACAGCTCCTAACAAGTAGTCCTGCATTTTTAATGACCCTTAGAAGAATGTACAAAAATTGGGAAGATATAGGGGGGGGGGGGTCTGATAGAGTGAATAACAATAACGGATTACTGAGTAAATATTACAAGCCATTTGTTGGATCTTATTTTAATCCATGATGTGCGTAATTGTTAATCATCTCTTCTCCACTGACAGTGTATAATTTATCTCAGAGTTTGTATATTAGATGTTTAAATTATGTTCAGTTAAACGATTTCACCACTAGTTGTTACTACTCTATTCCGTCTCCATAAGGTTATGACGGTTGGAGTGCTTTATTCTCCCACTGTTCTAGAAGATATGCTTGTAGTCGGCTAGTAGCTGCCACCTCAAGGGTTCAATTAAAACTCGACTTAATCGTATACAGTAGTCAGTAGCATAACCAACTGGTTATATATTCTGCATTGCATTGCATTCGCCATTTTCTTCTTAACAGTCTATCTAGTTATATAAAACTCGCCCAGAAGACGTTGTTGAAAATCTTCCGAGTCATTTATCCTTTTGGGGACGATTAGTTGTCATTTCATGTGTGTACCTGGATATAAGAGAAAACAGTTTTCACAGCCAAAATTTCCTAAAGTAACCGGAGTTTACAATGAAATGAGGACCTTTGGAAAATATGAGTGTTCGTTGGTTGAAGCACTATGTAAGGTACCTTTAGTGCATTTTTCTACTCGTGAGATGCTTATAGTTTCCTCAACAGTTGAACTGTCTGAAATAATTCTAAGTTTCATCTTATTCCAAACTAATGTAATGACTTTAAGACGAACCACAACTGCTAACTTCAATGCAGCCACAGGATTATTTATTACATTTTGTTAAAAAGTTTATTTTCGATTAAGGTTCTGCTAATCTGAACAAGTTTTGTTATTTGATTTAAATAGACGGTGGCTCCCTACTTCCGATTTACTAGAGGGCCTTAACCCCTAAAGAATGCTAACGCCCTCCTTTTCGTAACAATATTTTACAACTGAATTTGGATTTTTAGGAATTAGTTTTTTTCTTTGCAGAAACAACCTGTTACTACAAATTTCAGTGCCACTAATAGACTCGGTTTATCCAGAAAGCCATTTTTCCTGGACACCATAACAGCAGCTGTCAAGCGTCACAACAGTTGGTTCCGACAAAACATACGTGGTAAACATGAATCAAGTAAGCAGTAAGGTCTCACTTTTGTTCTCAGTTTTGTGATCGTTAACTTTTTGTAGTCTGTTCATCGATAGTACTGTAAACTAATCTTGAGATACTCTCCTAAAATACGTACTACCTCTTTGTTGATTACTTAGACCGTTGAAGCAGTGAATCATGCTAAATGTCAGCAAACAAGAATAACTGAAAAGGGCATCGATATAAACTTAGAGTTAAGCTTTCATCTAAATTTGAAAAGCTGGCAGCATTGTCTGATTGTGACCAAATAAAAAGTTACTTAATTGTAGGCGAAGCTCAATTTATCTGACAGACAGACAAGATCAATGTAGAATCTCTCACACAAGTCCATCGGTTAAAGTTGCCACACTTCACAATAGTACAGAAAGAACAGGTGGATAGAAAGGGAGTGACATTAAAGTGGATTAAGTTGTGTGAGAAAAACAATCTGAAGATAACGGTTGGTGTGAATATTCAAGCTTTAAAAGATGTCAAGGAGTGAATACATGTGCACCATTGTGACCGATTTTCAACCATGTGACCAAGAGTTTCCAATCACTGATTGCTTTCATCTCGTGGACCTCGACTAGGCATTTTGCATCTGCCCATACGGCTCAGATCAACAGTAAGAGACTTCACTGACTGGTGCCACATCTTGGTTTAGTCATCTTGAACCCTCTTCCTACCTAGTCAAACTTCCGATAACACGGCACTTCGAGGTAGGTGATGTCTCAGTGTACGCAACACGTGTCCAAGCCACCTCAGTCGACGAAGTTCCACAACCTCCATCTGTTTTGTAAATATTATTTTCAACGTTTCCAACTCTTTCGTTTTCAAAGAACTATCAACTCCCCATTGTTTTTTCATTCTTGAAACTGCATGATACTAGCCTAATCCATCGAGCACACAGTCCGACCAGTTAACCACGGTCAAGTTCATGCATTATTTGCAAATAACAACTGTTTTGTTGCAGCTGATAAACTCTATACAGTTTGCCTCAGCTCATTGAAGTAAGTTTTTACACCGTGACTTACTTCTTAAAAGCCAGATCTTCAAACCTATGAGTTACAGATTGTGTGTCTTTTCACTTTCTGCATACTCTTTCTTAAGTCATCCAGAAACATTCCCTAAATACAACTTACTTCATATGAGGCTTTAAAGACGAAGTTACTGTATCTGAACCTTGCTTAATGATAGACAACTTTCCCTGCCTCTCTTTTAAAGTATGTGATAATAAGACTCCTTTTTCCATCATATTTTAATAACTTTGCGGTCCGTTTCTGGTTTAAACCGCTAATCACGTAAGCACCTAGCTTCGAAACATGAAAGGGTTCCAACGATATACTCATATAAGTATGGGCATATACGCCATTGCAATTGGAATGTGTGCACGTGGTTATTGAAGGCTTGCAAGAAAAATAGTGATATCTTGTATATATCAACCAACTAAGAATAGTCACTCACCCAGTTACAGATGATCAACATAGTGCTTTCATGAAGTTGTCTGCATAGCAGAACCGTGAACGTTTATGTAAAGTTGAATTTCAACTAAGTGGGTTTTAACCTGGTGTGTAAAATGTCCTTCAATTCCTAATTTACTCTTATCAGATTTCATCTGTTAGTTGTGTAAACTAGTCATTCGTTTCGTATTTGAAAACTATTTCATACACGTTTGTTTCCCTTCCCATCTAATTTTAGAACCGTGATGCTTGCAAACACTGTGAAGTGAAACCATTTGTTTCTTTGCAAGAAGGAGGGATTTTTCATATTATTTCGTTTATGATCACGTATACTTCACACATGTCTTTCTTGAAACCTTGATCATGTTATGCTATAAAGAAGCCAAATGCTTTCAATATTTCATTGCCAAAAAATTGACCTCAAAAGCGAATAGTTTTGTCACTGTTACAATGATAAATTCCTTTTTCTCGTTATTGAGTTTATTCATATATATATATATATATATATATATATATATATATATATATATATATCTTGAACACAGCTCCAATTTACTGTGCTTTTCTAATTTTCTCAGTTAATACTGGTTTTCTTTTTCCTTTATCAATAGCGAAATACTTATCATGCTCTACATATTACTTTTTCTCTTCTGATTTTGTCTATTCATATTTTAACTAGTTATCATTTGTTATCTGCAATAACAATCTACTGAACAAGAACTATAAAACACACCTGCAGATGAAAGATATCATTCAGAATTCTTTGTTATTATTATTATTATTATCATCCCATTTCTCTCTGTTATGGAAAATCCTCCAATCAACCCTAGACTGACTCTGAGACACACTGTCTCCGAAATTCGCTCCGATTCCAGGTAAAGCTAGTTGAAGTTTCATAGACCATTTATTGTCTGTCAAAAAACCAGAAATTGTGACCTTAGGCTCTGCCACACTGTTAAGAAAGCGATGATAAAATATGGTACGTGTGCTTCTAATCTGTAACACTTTATTTAGTGCCTGAAATTAGCGCCTTTTCAGCTATGCTTCTCGACCGGTGTTAATAACTAAAAGAAATGTCAAAATAGAATACACAGCTTTGATAAATGTTTAAGTCGGAACTGTTGGCTTTAAGACATGGACAAACCAAAGTGTGATGAACCTATAATATACCTTATGTACGTAGTTACATTTCATTCACTATCATTCTTGTAGGCTTTGGTATTGATTGGAGTGTTGATTTGTTGGTGGACATTCAGGTGGTGTGTGTGGAGTGTGAGTGATGGGAGGCGGTGTGTTGTTTGTGTGTGTTGTGTTGTTCAATTTGCAGATGGCTGTTCGACGATTAGGTTTGAGTGGTTGGTTGGTGATGCGACGTCTGTGGTGTACAGGCTGACTTTGCGCAGTGGCGGTACCGTAGCCAATGAAGTTTATCTGAGGCGCGGTTATTGCTAGTTGAAAACTACTCCCAATACCCCGCACTGATGGCGTGAAATATCGTTGTCAGATGCAATTTTTCTAGGCCGTCTCTGGCCCAATCCCACCAAACACAACAACTACTCACTCACCCAGCACTCACAACAGACAACACACGCCTTACGCTCACCAACACCACCGATCAGTCAGGCATTCATCAATTCGCCGAATCGCCTTCACATCAGGTTACCTCATCCGCACACAGACACTGACAAGCACAAATGTGCACACGGAATGATTTGGATACTTCCAGTGAACAGGATGCTGTGCAAGCTGGCTGATGCATTTCAGCACAGGATGGATGCAAGTTGAATACCTAAAAGACATCGTATGAGTGAGTGACTCTATTTATAGGCTTGTGAGTGAGTTAGTTGTTAGGGCGTGGTGTCGCCTAGGGGAGTCTATGGTTTTTTATGGGATGACGACAGGCAATGTTGTTCCAGGTTTCGTCCACGTGAATGTGCAACGATATTCGTCACATGGCTATTTCAATGTTCGTCCTGAATGTTTTTAGCCTTACCCTATTCGACAACGTCAACAAAACTCGATAACAGCAGCTTGATCAAAAGGCGTTCGTCATGATATTTCCAATGATGTATTTATATGTGTTTTTAGATATCATATGTATGCAAGGAAAATTCTTTTCAATATTTAGGTGATATTGGTAAATAGAACAGTGGCAGACTTACATGGATTGGACAACATGATTCCCATACCAAAATAGAGAAATATGAAACGTGACATTTATGTATTCGAAAGAAAGAGAATTAACGTAAGTACTTGTGATCTTAATGACGATATAAGCGTACTCACCAGTAGCATACTAGAATGCGACTGTTAGTAATTGCTAAATGTAATAACTGAGTTGTGAAATATAATTATTAATCTCGGGAACTAATGATCGGATATTTAAGAGGAAGAACTGGCCGACGATCCTCCAGCCTTAGATGAAAATGATATGTGAAGTGTTGTAAATAAATAAACACGAATACGCGATAAAAGTGTCTTTTAATGTAAAGTAAACTTGGTATTAGTTTGGTACTAAATCATGTGCTGATCAAATTGCAACACCACTCAACGCATCATCAAACAGAGCATAGAATGGCGATAAAACTCTTTACCTCAACTTCACCGACTTTGAAAAGGCCTTTGACAGCGTCGACCGAAAAGTAATTTGGCAGGCAGTTGCTTCAACACTACGGAGTGCCACAAATCTTTATCAACCTCATTCAATAGCTGCATGAAAAGGCCTTATGCCAAGTGATCCACAATGCGAAGCTCTGTGATGTTTTTGAAGTAAAGACAGGAGTAAGACAAGGCTGCCCACTATCACCGATGATCTCCTGATTGTGGTGGACTGGATCATGCAGCAAACAGTGAGGAGCAAGAGGATGGGCATAGGCTGGACCGATGGAAAGAGCCTAGAAGATTTGGATTTCACCCATGATGATGTTTTGTGTCTAATGTCGCACAAACTCGAAGATCTACAGGCAAAAACTAACAAGTTGGCAGAAGAGGCAGCGAAGACGGGACTTCAAGTGAATGTAGAGAAGACAGAGGTGATGAAGATACCCAACCAACAACACCATCAACGGGGGGAACCTAAAGGAAGTAGTCTCTTTCACCTACCTAGGCAAGCAGTATCGTTTCAACTACAGGTGGCGGCACAGACGAGGATGTCAAAACTAGGATCGGAAAGCAAGATAGGCTTTCATTACTCTGAAATCAGTGTGGAGGTCTACTGCACTGCACAAAGAACAAGATCCGGATTTTCAGTACTAATGTCAGTCAAGTTAGTGCTTCTATGTGGTTCAGAAACCTGGCGCGTCACGAAAAGCATTTCCAATAAATTGTAGACACACATGAACAGCTGCAGTCTACTCTCGCTTCACAGTGAAGACCAGATGGCCAGAAGAGATTGCAAAGGAGACGTACTACTGAAGCTCTGTGTTCCACTAGGAACCCTCCAACTGATGTCAGTCTTCGATGAATAACAACTTGACATATTAATAATAATCAAAGCTTTCAATGCAACCATTTAGTATTTGTTTTAGGCAGTGAAAAACTCAGGTAACGGAATAGTTGTTTGTTTCCACCCAAATGTTTAAAGAAATTATATTGGTATGAGAAAAAGTAGTATATATGAACAAAACTTATTTTACATATATCAAAGAAACTCTTCAATGTAAATGAGATTGTAGTAGGAAAAATTGTTTAGATTTTGGAATGGATAACACTGTTTATCAGGTCACTGTAAAAATCCATTTGTTTATAATGATTTTTGAGGGAGTTGTGGGGATTTGGGAATATTTCAAGTTGTTATTCATCGTAGACTGACATCAGTTGGAGGAACAAAGGAAACCTAGGAGCACTGGATTGCTGTTTCGTCCTAGTGTGGGACTCCTCAGCAGCGCGCACCCACGACCCCGCACCACAAGGGATCGAACCCGCGATCTTCAGGTTCCGTAGCCAGCACGTTACCATTGAGTCACTGGGTCAGAATCCAATGGTCCATATTTCCAACTTCTGTTAGCTCACGATATAGCGCAACCGCCACCCAATGTCATCGTTGAGTAACGGTCCTCACGACCATCAGGCTTCGCCCCCATCGGTCATGACTTCTCATTGAAACTTTGGGAATGCCCCACAACTCCTTCGAAATTCAACTGAACTGGTGCTCATTGGTGACTAGCTTCGAGAGGTATTCCCGAAGTTCACATGAGAAGTCTGATGATCGTGAGGACAGTTACTCAACGATGACATTGGGTGGCGGTTGCTCTATAATGATTTTAACAACTATTTCCGCTTAGATGTCTGACACTAAGATAATGAAGGAAGAAATTTATTTGTGAATGCGAAAATCTAATTAAAACTGTTTTACGGCATATCTAGAAAACTGATCAGATGAACTTTAGCTCATCCCACAGGTCAGCTTTCACTGCTTTAAGCCTCGCATAATATTAGACTCCAAAACATTTTCTCTTTAAGTTAACTGTAACATTTATGCTATGATGTGATATATTATGCGCTTTATATCAAGTCACGTCGAATAGGTTTTGAAATCAATGGCTAGCACCTATTCTGTCCATCACATACGACTCAGTTTTAAATTATAGTCCCAACAGATCTAAGTTTGTTACCTTTGGAAGCACCAACGCTTTAACTCGCGAATCACTTTTTCATGCTGGTGTAATGCAATATAATCAATATTCTGATATACTGTCTACAATCATCACTGAAAAAATGTGTGCAGCTTTCTATTGGCGTATTTTAATGCGATATAATGAAGACTAATTTTGGTATGAACTCAAGCTGTTGTCGTTTGAAATGATGATAACTATCCTGTTTAGTGGATGAAGCCTTGTGTAGGGCTCTATTTTACATTATGAAAAATAGTATCTTTAGGCATATGCCTGATGATCAATGATGTAGCTAATACCTTTCTACCAATTGTGCTATAATGACAATGAGTACAACTTGATATTTCCGAAAATAGTGTTAGTGGTTTCAGCTCATCATTTCTCCTACTGTAAAACTGATTCGATGATGATGTTCGAAACATATTATAAACGATAATGGAGCTTGAATATCTCTGCTTAATAGCAACTCCTTATTAGACATCTGTTTTACTTTTTTTAGTAACCGAGTATCCTCAATTAACGGATGTAGAGGATGTGTATATCGTCTTAGACAATCATCTAGTGTTCGTAAATTCATAGAAGGTTAGAAGATAAGTAGATAATATTAATTAATTAACCCAAGAAATGAGCATG